TTCCTGGCACCGAAACAGTGCTATCTACAAATCAAGCTCCTTTTTTCATCCATTTTTCAAAACAGTGACAGACAGGGCACCCGAAACACTACTATCTACACACAGGGCACTCTAAACATTGCAATCTACATACAACACACCTAAAACAATGCTATTTACATACAAAGCACCAAACAAATCGCAAAACCATACACAGAAACAGAAAATCGTAGAACTTGCAAAATGCACAAAATTCTCACAATAGTCAAAGAGGAAAATGAGAAAGCTCTGCTTGAAAAATGAGACAAATTCCACAAAATTCTCACAAAACCCTATATAACGTAAATGAGAAAGCCACAAATCACAAAAAGTAAGTCATTTCATAAAAAAATGAGCATAGTATTTACATATCACACACAATTATCAGAGATTTGATGGAAAAGAAAGAGGAGAAAGACCAGTTTCACCTTTAAATGCACGAGAGAGGCGCGAGAACGCTGTAAAAATTTTGCAAGAGCGATCGAGAGGTACATAGGGCAGAATAAACACGAGAAAGGGAGCCACAACGAGAAAGGCAAAAGAAACCTGAGAGAGGGCCGCGGGATAAAATGCACGCAAAGAAACGTGGGCCGCGGAGACGAACCCGTGGCCGCGTTTTAACATAAATTATTTACGAACGCCGCCGTGCCACTGTTTCCAAACGGTTGGGTGCGTGTTTTCAGAACACAACGCGCCAAAAGAGCTGCCCCAAACCGGAATAAAATTTGAGCTCAAATGATCATAAATTTAACTCTTAAGTCTTATACAATATGTATGGAGCTTTATTTTAATAATATGGCGACCTATAATTAATAATTAAATTGACATAAATAGTTATGTAAAATACATATAATATAATTTCTATTATAAAATGCCGCGGCGGGACGGACCCCGCGTTCTGCAGTTACACGCGAAGGAAAGCTTAAATGGCCCAAAGCAGTTACTGCCACTATTTTCGCTTCTCCCCTCTTCACAGTCCTCGCCAACATCATTCTTCTTACGAGTCTCCGCCATTAGCTTGAAAGAAGGATCGGTTGAAGAAGATTAGAAGGACGAGCGCGAATCGAATCCTCGGGAAGAAGATTAACCAGATTTTTTGTGGAGTTTGATCCCAACGGAAGATACGGAAGGGTTTGTGGCTCCCTCTTCATAATGGTGTCTACTTTCTCCTTCCATCTCCCTCTTCCTCACATTTTCTTATCTGGTTTCTCGCACTACAGCGACATTCTCGGCAAGAGAGCTACAAAACTGTGTATCGCCTAATGTTTGATTCCTTTTAGGCCTCTACCCCTCTCGCTCCGAAAGCCAGCAGCCGAAAGCCTCCGTCGCTCTCCGTCGCGGAAAGCCAGTGGGACTCCATCGCTCTCCGTCGCCGAAAGCCAAGAGGCCCTGGTAATGCTTATGAGGAGCAGGATACCCTGGTAACACTTATATTCTTGATCTGGCTTTCTCAGTACGAAGCATTCGTTCTTCTCTTCCCCATGCCATCTGCTTCTTCGGCATTCTCGTTCGGATCTTCCCCCTTTTTATTTTATTTTTCCTCGTCGCCCAAAAGGGAGAAAAGAGATTTTGATCTCTGATTTTGATTTTCTTTTCGGAATGATTTGGTTTCATCAGATATAGGGCATTTGATGAATACGATAGGATCGAAGTTGCTTGGACCCCGGTTAAACTTCATGATTTCTTTCAGAGACCACAAGATTTGGCGAGGCATACATCCTGCTCAGACCCTGCTTTGATTATCCTTTGATTACCTTATAGTGAATGCACTAATCCTGCTCATATCTATAAGAAAGTTTTTTCGGGGAGAGATCTCATCTTGTTTAATGTTTAGCCTGTAAAAAATCATGATTTCTTTGATTCATAGTATTTGAATTAAAGAAAATGGGAAGATATATATATATATATATATACCGCTCAATTCTTATGAATTTACATATATATATATATAACAACACAATTGTACAGGTTCTAATTGCCTTTTGCACAGCTTTTCAACCGGAATGTCCCATTGAATACGTCCCGCGCTTTCTCCTTATCAACGGCTACTATAAAACCTGGGCCACAACCAACGGATAGGATAACTACACGTCATCATATACATACATGGGCCCCATACTGTCCCCACCTATATCATCCCTTCCCGTCCTTTTTTCGCATGATTTTTTTTTTGTTAGTCCTCGAAAAAAAAAAGTAAAGAATGGGCTTTTTCTATATTTTATTTAGAAACATTGTTCTCTGATGGTTTTCATCTCCGAGGATTATTCGCATTTTGAAGGCAATGCGATTTATCTCTGATCAATATGTTTTTTTTTGCTTTTTCTGAATCTTGATTTTCTTTTGGTGCTGTTGCAGTTCCGATTGAACAGAAGTACCGCAATTCATTGAGCATCACGACTAAGGGATCGGTGTTTCATTGATCATCATCATAGAGATAAGTTCCGACGAAAGAAAGTGTTTATAATTAGTTGCATTTGAAATTACTTCAACAGAATAAGCGGGATAAGGGCTTGATCATCAATGGCTACCCAAGAGAACATGTTCTCTAAATTTTTAGAGTTAGTGAAGTCATTGTTACCTCGGCTCTCTGAGCCTGCATATGTATCTAAGGATTTTTGGATGCCCGATAGTAGTTGCAGGGTATGTTATGACTGTGATACACGGTTCACCATATTTGTCCGTAAGCATCACTGTCGGTTATGTGGTCGTGTTTTCTGTGGAAGTTGCTCTGCTAATTCTATCCCCATACCTTCAGCTGAGCCAAATAGTAGAAGGTTGGATGGAGACAGGGTTCGTGTCTGCAATTTTTGCTTCAAGCAATGGGAGCAGGAAGTGGCAGCGGCAGATAATGCTATAGAATCATCCAATGCCGACATGGATAATTCATATTGGACAACGAGCATGATAAGTACAAGATCCAGTGGCACCCCTGAGAGCAGTACCATGACTATTGGTTCCATGTTTTACTCTAATGGACCAAGTCAACAAACTCTTTATTGGTCTAGCCCCAGCTCTGTTCGATCCATGATAGTTGAGCCTGAGGATGGTGAGCATGATATTCTGATGTTTGATTCGCATGCTAATTCCTTTGTAGACAAAGGGGATACTTGCCGTAATCACTTCAGTTATTGCAATATTAGGTAGGTTAATTTTGTGCTTGAATCTTGAGTCACTAATAACTTTAAAGTTTCATCATTTCTTTAACAATGAGGAAAAATTTCTGCCATTTGACATATCTGCAAAAACCAAATATCAAGCTAATTAATAATTCATCTCATTTGTAAGTTTGGTTGTTCGGTAGATCATCCAAAGAGTGATCTTTATTATTACATTAGTGCTCTCCATATTAAATTTATTTCATTTCACGTATCCCTGCAGTTTAACTTAGCAATTCCCACTGTACATTAAGCTTTACATGTATGTATTCAATGATATAGTTTTACAACCTAATACATTTAGATTCCTCTAGCACTTTTCCCTTTATGTATAATATAGATAAATATTGTTTGCCAGATTGCTTTAGTAAAAAAAAATCCAACTTGTTTTTCATTAATGTTTCGAACAACGGGTGTTTTTTCATGTGAGGAAGATTTGGTATTCAGCTTTAAATAGTTTGATTCAATGTAAGTTCTAACAATATTCTTATTTAAAAGAAGACAAGCTCAAATAGTTATCAATTATTTGGGCCCCCATTATGAGGTAAAGTAGCAACAATGGAGAGATAGTTGGACGGGGTTTACATGGTGATGTGAATTTGTGAGGATTTCTCAATAATAAAGGAGGAAGACTTGGTATTCAGCTTCAAGGAAGAGACTAAATGAATTAACTTAGTAAAGAAAACTTAATTAGTGATTAGGTTTATAATTTCTTAAGCAACAAGAGGGAAAATGTTTAGATAGGGATGAAGGGACATAGTGCTATGTAAATCTCCTACTAAATGTCTACTTCTGAAACTTGGCTCTTCGAAGACTAAATATTGGAATTATACCCTTCTAGATAGGAGATTCTTTCTAATTACACCTATATGGATTTTAAAAATTACGATGTCATGTCTTTAAATAATGCAAGCTAGAACTATTGATAGAGAGTAAAATTGGGACTTATGATCTTGCCCTATTGACAAGATGATCTAAATGCGTATGAGGGTCAATCATATGATGTAAACATATAATATAATTTTAGATCTACATGTTGAAATTATTCAAGCTATGCTGTTTTAAGTACATGGACTAGGCACTTACTGTCTAAGTAGAAAGCTTATAACCTAAGTTACATGGCTTAATATCATAATATCACTTTTAAGTCAACAAATAGTCAAAGTTTCGCATATTTATCTATTACACTTTCCAGGGCATATAAAATAAATACATTTTTTTATTATATAAAATTAGGTTGTTGTTAGGGGTGTAACTGAGCCAAGCCGATCGTAAGCCAACCCGGTATCAACCAGATAAATGAGCTATTTATACCCTTAGTTATTGCATAACCCTTAATATTACAACATTTATTGCAAAAATGGAATCACAATTATATTCCAAATGAATAAACCCTATGTGCCTATTATGAGAGTAACAAGACCAATGGAGATCCTAGGGTGGAGATCTACAAGGAAAATAGAACCTAAAATGGCGCATACATGTGCAAATGTGTATGTATATGTGCATGATTGTAGATTGCAATAGTGCAAAATGCACAATTTTTCTAATCTACATATCAAATTTAATTTATATAATTAGGATTATCAAATAACATGAATATGTATTTAGCTCATGAGACAGAGAATCAAACCCAAGGAAATGTAATGAGGTTTTGAGAATGAATGCCGCTAAATCTTCAATTGTCTCGCTACCATCCCTTCCAAATTCCATAGTTTAAATGTGATAACTACACGTTAGAAAAGTGAAAATATAATAATTTCAAGTCTTCAAATGCATAGGTGAATTGTTGACCATACTTGAAATGCATGCGAGGTAGCATGTTGGATTTAGGGTCTTGGCAATTTAAAGCCAACAAGACCAAAAAACTATTGGGCGTTTTCACTCAATACGCATCTACCCTAGGATTCTTTTGACCTGTGAGCTAGGAATCAGCAGATCGGTGGTGTTGAAGTCAATGTATGGTTCTTGGGTGATGAATTTAGAGTTGGCAAGCATCTGTAGAATTGCAAATGAATTGAATTCTCGACAAGTTACTTGTGGATTGGCTCAATAAAAACTCTTACATGTTTGTTTAATTAACTAATTTAACAACCTTGAATATCTAAATATTTGGTTGTTAAGTGATAAGCTCGAACAACTTGTTGCTTGATTCCTTTATGCCCAATCAAAATCTCATTTAAAGCTCATGAACATGTTTGTTAAGAAGCTTGATTAAAATTCGATTAAAGTTTGATATAAGGCTCAATTGAGGCTTGTTTACTATTGTTCGAATTCCATCTTTTATTTGGACATTTAGTCCCATACTGTTATGTTATGATGTTTTAAATATTACTATTTATAAGCTATTAAAGGACTAACTTGAATGATTGAGCTTGTAAACCATATGGTATTATGGGATGATGCTCAAGATCATTTAAAAAATAATAATAAACTTTTGAAAGATTTAAAACTTGTTAAATTAAAATTATTTTTTAAACTCAATTAGACTGGTTTGTCATGACTCACTCGTATGGATCACTAAGGCTAGTCTATGATCCTAAACGAGCTGCTAGTTTAAAGTTTGTTGATTAAATATTGAACTAAGCTTGAGCTGAGCTCCAACTACGGTCAAACAAATATGTTAATGAACTGAGTATGAACACTATTACAAAGCTTGAATATAGCTTGACTTGAGCTTGAACATGCCTTTAATAAATAAGATCAAGCTTGCATAGCCTCCAAGTAGGCTCAACTCGGTTCATTTATGGCCTTAGATGTGTGTGAGCTCTCGCAACAAGTGTACCATGACTAATGTGCCTGAGTGTAATGGCTAAGTGTCATTTCTCGGCGGCAAGGGATCATTTTTGCTAGACGTTCAAAATTGGTAGTTTTTTAGACATTTGGTGCATAAGTATTGGCCAACTAGAGAGGTCGGGCTCATATTTACTGACAAGTCAGAGATGACAAGTGTGCCTAGTATATGTCGAATGGAGTATCCTGGCCTCTTACGTTGGGCAGGGTTTGCCTATTTCCAAGCTATCCTATTAGAGACTAGAATTTATTATAGGGGTATTTATTGCCTTATGATGATGGGCAACAAAATGATTGTCGTCTGAAAAACCCAACGATGTTGCAGGGGATAATTCAAATTGCTCACACAAAATTTTACAAGAAGAAAAAAAGAGAACACTTTGTGTGGCCTCACCATAATGTGAGGTTTATTTGTGTCAAGTGGAGAATCGACGGGCTGATTATACTTGGTGGTACATGTAAACACTGGTGGTTCCTACTTACCTAGGGATGAGCATCTAGCCAAATGAAATTAGGTGGAGAATGTGATGGTGACTGGAGTCTAGGTGGTGAGAAGGTGTTAAAGGTGCAAACTTATTGCTAAGTGGAAGGAGGTTGTGCAGTAGGTGTGCGGTCAAAAGGAAATAAATTGGTGGCACTTTTAGAGGGTAGGAGAGGTAGCGACCAGTATGTTTCAACAACTTCAGAGACATCGGTAGAGTCGTTGAAAGCATGAGAAGGGAGAGAATGCCCTTTTCATTTCCTCGAGATATTGTAATGCTAGAAGCCAAGGATGTGAACTAAAGAAACTCTAGTCAAATGGAAGCTAAAGATCATTAAGAACCAAAAAGTGGTGGCTTTGTCTACCACACTAGGAAATGCTTTATGAAGAGTTAATTGGAAAGAGGTAATTGACAGGTCTAAGATTTTATGTGCCCAGAAATGACTAGTTGGTTTTCCAAAATTCATTTATGCTTGAAAATTGAGGTTGGAGAGAGAAAAAGCTCTTGCTGTATGAGATTTGAGGACTTTAGGGCAATTGAGGGTTACTTAAGATATAGACAATGAAGATGGGTGTTGACAATTAGAATCATTGCTAAAGCTATAGTAAGGACATACGTGGAAGGATTTTGTTTTTTACCTCACTGAGGTGCACAAGAAAGGAAGAATTCAATGCCATACATGAGCAAAGTCAGCAGGTCGAAGGACTGGTGATGAGTTGATGGGTGTTGTCAGCTTAAAGGATAACATGATAGGACAAGTGACCGTTGGTGAGTAAAAAAATTACGAAGTCAGGTGCTAATAGTTTGTCTGTGTTGCCAATTCAAGTGTGTCAATATGTCAAGGGTTACACGACTTAATGCGAATGCCAAATTACTAATTGGTAGCTAGTTCACTAAAATTGTATCCAATTAAAATAGGTTGACAAGTAGCCAAATGGTTGAGAGGTCAAAATACGTGAGTGGGTTTAATGCATCAGGGGATCAAATGGTCTAATTGATTTGTCAGGAGCAAGCAAACTGGTTAAGGGTTGGCCATTTGGTCGAGTGGTTGATAGGTCCTGAACACGCGACACATGCTAAAAATTAGGGGCATATATTCTAGAATTTTGTTTAGATTTAGATCATTAAATCAACTTATAAGAGTGAACTGGCCTTGAGTAAGTTTGAAAAGGAGGTCAGCAAGCCTGTCCATATCACGTCTGTCATAAAGAATTGTTTTCACTTAATGGCCATGTGCTAGTACTATATTTATATGGAAAATAATTTGGAGATTATTGAATTTTGGTATGTGATATTAAAAATGCATGATGATGAAGCTAGGACATTAAGAGGGCCCATTGGAAAAAGGAATCCTAAGTCGATGATTATACACAATGGCGACTTGAAGTTACAAAGTTAAATAACCCATATTAAGTGAATTCACATGCTATATGAAGTGACATGATGTGCTGAATTAGGCCGAGTGTTGGGTAGCATGACTCATACTAGATGAAATTATATGATGTGTCTGCGACAATTCTATGTAATACCATAGGTATTAAGTGGTATGAATCATGCAAGGTATGGTCATACCTTAGATGGGCCTTGTGAGCTAACCACCCCCTCATAATATGCAAATGTCCAACATAAGCGCATGTGGATATGTGCTCATGCAAAGACCTCAAGCATGCAAATGCAAGTGCACATGGTTTTATGCACCATGGCATACAAAGATACAAAAATGAAGTGCACAAGGTGTCATGCAACTTAAGAATGTGGGGACATATGCTCATGTAGAAGTTGTTAAACATATGAGCGCAAGTGCACAAATGCTATCTAAATATTGACACGGGCATTTGGAAAAATATGGTCATGTAAAAATATTAAATGTCTGAATGTAAGTGTGTTATCTATCATAAGCAAATGAGAGAATATTCCCATGTAAGACCAAATCAAATATTTAAATGCAAATGTTCCATATGATGTACACATGTATCACACAACATGATATTACAAACAAGCACACTAAGTTGGGCATTTACCAAATCGCAAGAAGAATCTTGTGTTTTTAATGAAGAAAGACGTAGTTTTTCCGACAATGCTGATTTTTTTAAAGGTTGTCAAAGTTTGTTTTCATAAAGTCCAATAGAGTTAGTGGATTCTTTTTAGTTATAAATTTGATTATAGCTAATTTAGTTTCATTGCCATAATTTGGAGAAGCAAAAAATAGTTATATTGTCATCCTTATGTCAGGTTTTGAAACTTTGAGTTTTTTGGATTATTTTCTTTTATTTTTTGAAATGTTGTACTCTTAAGGGTTTTCCTACAGATGACCTTCAAGTGTTATTGGAATTTTAAAGTTTATGCGTTTTATCTTGGAGACTTTTTTAAATGACAGGTCAACGGATGACAAATTCCTCACATTGTTATGTTTCTTTTGATTTTTTTATTTTTTATTTTTGTTGTAGTTGCAATTCCAATTTAAAGTTGGGCATTTTTTATTGATTTTGAACAAAACTAAGAAATTTTTTTTAGCGTTAATGCTACAGGGATTTGTATTGTCTTCATCAGCATTTCTTTTAGATCAGTTCCGAGGAATGAAAATGTTTATAATCATCTGCATTTGAAAATGACTTCAACAAAAATGAGTAGAGTTAAGGTGTTTGGTCATCAATGACAACCCAAGGGAGCATGCTCTCTAAAGTGTTAGAGTTAGCAAAATCTTGGTTCCTTCGGCCCTCTGAGCCTGCATATGTATCTAAGGATTTTTGGATGCTCAATAATAGTTGCTGGATTTGTTGTGACTCTGACACAATTCGCCATGTTTGTCTGTATGCATCACAGTAGGCTATGTGATTGAGTTTTCTTTAGAATTTGAACGACTAATTTTATCTCCATACCATCAGATGAAACAAAGAGTGGAAGGTCGCATTGAGAACAGGTTCGTTTCTGCAGGTTTTGCTTCAAGTAGTGGGAGCAAGAAGTGGCAGCTAAATCTAATGTAGTCCAATATTCCAATGTTGACTTGAATAATTCCTCTGGACAGCTAGTATGGTTAGCTATAAGAACTAATGGCACCCTTGATAGTAGTACTAAAGGTCACATAGTACCTAAATCGATAATTCCTCTGGACAGCTAGTATGGTGAGGTGTAGAAACGAACCTGGTCTTCATGAAGGAAATTTAATTTTTGAAGTTTTGAATAAATTATTATCCAAAATTCACAATTAGATGATCTTAGCTCTAACCTAGGTTTGTTTGAATTATCTTTTTAGATAATAATTGATTCAAAACCTTAAAACAGAATTTCCTTCATGGTTTAAAATTGGTTCAAAAGTTGTCTGCAAATTCTGTTATTTAAAAAATATTTCATTTTTTATTTTGTATCCCCTTGAACTCCTATAAATTGGTGATGGAAGAGAGGCATGAATTGCATGCATGCTTGAGAGCTATAGTTAAACAAAAATGGTTAAAGCTAGATGGAAAAGAGGCTTCTTTGAGGAGATTCTAGTTGGAGATCTTTTGTCATAATTTTTCTCTTTGTTCAACTTCTCCCTTTTTTGGCTATTGTAATTATATTAGACAAGGTTTTCGTATTTGTTTGGCTTGATATTTTTGAGAATTTTCTTGTGTGACATTGAATATACTTGGGTTTTGGGAAGAGTGTTCTCTAGCGCCTTACTTTTTTGGGCATTATTTTCCCTTCTTGATAATTATCAGATCGTTTCTTCTCTCTTATTAATCTTGGTCTATTTTTTGTCTAATCGATATAAATTATGGTGCCTTGCTATGATATTTGGCCTCGTTGTTATTGTTATGATATTCTTTTTCATTATTGAGAGCCACTTCCATATAAATAAATACAATTTTGTAATATTTGTGTATTAATGGAATGAAGTAGAAAAACTTCTTGATCAGTTTTGATATTATTCTCTGAAGATATCAACTTCCTTAGAAATTGTTTTCACCGTTCTTAATGCAAAGGTGTAATGTGCAGCAGTAACTATGATGATGACGGAAATGTAGAATGCCAGTCTAACTCTGGAGCACAGCATTTCCAGCATTCTGAGGAGTACTATAGTAGAGTTGAATATGACAGGATCAATCATGATTTTAATATAAATGAGGTGCTGCATGACGAAGAAGATGCTGCTTCCCAAATGGTTTTCTCTCCAGTTCTCGATGGCATAAAGTTACAGGATTCTTTAAGCAATGAAGTTATTGCAGAAGCTGAACCAGATCATAGTGATGTGTGTGGTTTGTCATCCATTCATGGAATAGACAGTGTTGATGAACCTGTAGATTTTGAGAATAATGGATTACTTTGGCTCCCCCCTGAACTTGAAGATGAGCAAGGCGAGAGAGAAGCAGGTTTGTTTGATGATAATGATGATTATTATTATGATAACACTGGAGAATTGGGCTATCTCCATCATTTGAGGAGCTTTCACAGCCGTGAATTCCATACAACAGATTGCTTGAGTGATGAGCACAGGAAAGCAATTAAAAATGTCGTTGAAGGACATTTTAGAGCATTGATAGCTCAACTCTTACTGATTGAAAATCTTCCAATTGGTGAAGAAGGTGACAAAGAGAGCTGGTTAGAGATTATTACATCATTGTCATGGGAAGCAGCAAAAGTTCTTAGGCCGGGCACTAGTGAAGGTGGAACGATGGATCCTGGTGGGTATGTTAAGGTTAAGTGCATTGGTTGTGGTCATCGCAGTCAGAGGTAATTCACATTTCGAGTTATTCTTAGTTATTTGATGTTACTGATTCAATTATTTGAAATAAGCTCAATGGTTTCGGTGCTTGTATATATTAACACAATCACACTTGAAAAAAAAAATACTGAATCTTTTCTTCGTCATAAAACAGAGGCTTTATGTTTATGTATTACTGATTGAATCTTCTTTCCCAAGTATTTTTCCATTGAGTTTGAAAATGTTGCTTTTATAATTGCCAAACAGCTTGAGATTGATCATGAAGTTTCTTGTTTGTTTTTCTGTTTAGCATGGTGGTAAAAGGAGTTGTTTGTAAGAAGAATGTAGCACACCGCCATATGATGTCTAAAATTGAAAAACCAAAATTATTAATCCTTGGAGGTGCTCTTGAGTACCAGAGAGTAAGGAATTCATTTTCATGTTTGGATACTTTGCGGCAGCAGGTGTGTCAACTGTGTATACTTTCATATAAAACTAAAGCAGGCTTTATTTGCTCTAATTAATTGCTATCATATAGGAAATGGACCACTTGAAGATGGCAGTCGCAAGAATTAAAGCTCGGGAGGCCCAAGTTCTTTTGGTGGAGAAATCAGTGTCTCGTATAGCTCAAGATTATCTTCTTGCAAGAAATATTTCACTTGTTTTGAATATCAAAAGGCCCATTTTAGAGCGAATATCGTGCTGCACTGGAGCTCAAATAGTTCCTTCTATTGATAATGTATCATCATCTAAGCTGGGGAGCTGTGATCTATTTTATGTAGAGAAGTTCTTGGAAGGGCATGGCACTGCTGTGCAGGGAGGGAAGAATATGTTGAAGACTTTGATGTTCTTTGAAGGATGCCCAAAACCTCTCGGCTGCACTGTGAGACAATTTTAAATTTCAAATACTCTATTATTTTCTCTATTTTTTATTGTTTATGTTACCATTTCTAAACTGTCACATGATAATTATTTATAATAGGAATCTGTACTAATTTCCATTATTATATTTCCTTATGATTTTTGAGAATATTCACTATAAAGAAGGAAGTGGCTAGAAAACTTATTTTATTCATTCCACCAATGACTATTAATTCTTTAAATTACCTAGAGAATTATTAAAAATTATAAAGATTTTAAAAATTAAAACAGCTGCTCAAAACTTTCTTTCTTGGCCGGCAGGAGAAGGGAGCGACCCATAGTATTCCCTTTTCTATGTTAAACAAATGAATATATGGTATATATTTTCTCTGATTTAACATATGAATCCATGACTTTTGTCATTCCTTATTTAGTAATCTTCATGCTGCCAATTTTGCTAGCCCCTAGATACTTCTCAACACTCCCGTTCAAAATAAGTGGTAGAAATCTATCATTAGTAGTTTGCCTATTGAAAATCAAGCATACAAGATCACAACTCATGTATGGAACGTTTGTGATTTGTTATGACGCTTCATGAAAAAAAAAATTCTTGTTTTACCTTATTTTTCAAGTAATTTTTATATTTAATCATAGAAAGGGGGAACCAAGTTCGTGAATTATGCTATTGCTGATCATTTAAATCATGAATTGAATGATTATATCAAATCTTTATCAAAATGACAAGTCATTAAAATCCATCAGAGAGAATCTGAGCCTGCTCCTTGAAATACCAGCACTAAAACAATACCTTACTGAGGATAAACAGATAATCTTAAGTAACTAGGACCTTGATAATGATTTTGATGATCTTGTTTGGTATCTTCAGTGAATCTATTTGTTTTTAGATTATCATACTATTGGCTTGTCTTCAAAGAGGAACTGCTTTACTTTGATCACCATTTTTGGCTCTCAGCTACATGGCTTTCCTACTAGGTTATGAACCTATATAAACTCTAAACAAAATCATTTGATGGCTTCGGTTATGTTATTACAAAACTCTAATAATCCATTTTTGGGGCCGTAGGTGTGACTACACAAGGCAGCTTGTTGCAATAAAGATGTTATTTTATTGAGTTTGTCGGGTATCTTTTATGTAATAACTCAAATTATAGTTTTTTTGTCTGTGTTTTAATCCACATTCTGGTCCCTCACATTTCTCTTTTTCCTTGAAAATTGAAATTGTTAAGTATGAATCTCTTAGTTTTTTATAATGTTGATTTTGCAAATATGTCAGAAGAGTAAAATGCAGTTTTCTGATGCAAATACCTTGCTCATGCCTAGATTATTCTCAAAGGTGCAAATTGTGATGAGCTGAAGAAAGTAAAGCATGTGGTCCAGTACGGATTTTTTGCTGCTTACTATCTAGCTTTGGAAACATTGTTCCTTGCTGATGAAGGGGCCCATGTACCAAAACCTCCATTGCAGTCTCCAGTGACTGCAGCTTTACCAAATAATTCATCTTGTCTTAACAAATACGTATCCACAGTTCCTGCTTTTGCAAACAATTCTATAGAGCCAGCTGTTAGTAGCAGTGGCTGTACTGTCATAAACACACAAGATTCGTCAAAAGCAACTATTTCCAAAGAAAAAGAAATACAAATATCACCACCACTGCCTTCCAGAAGTGCCAGTTTCCAAATGGAAGATTGCACCTCAAGCTTTATTACTCAACCTGTTGCCAGTGGAAAGTTGCATTCATTCCTTTCAAACACTTCTTCAGATAGTCTACCCGCGCAGTTTGCAACTGAGAAGAATAATTTGTGTTTTGGGAAATCTCACTTTACTGAAAAATCCACAAATGTTGTTGAAGATCATGCCAATTTTGAACCCGTCTTCCTAGAAGATAATTTAAAGAGATCAGAGAAAGGCTGCAATCAAGTTGTTCTATCTGATGTACTGGATTCAAACCGGCTTAATATTGATCTACAAGAAACGGCAATGGTAAAGTATGAATTTTCATCATCTCCTTCAGATAACCAAACCATTTTAGTTTCTTTATCAAGCCGTTGTGTGTGGAAAGGCACGTTTTGTCTGCGATCTCATCTCGTGCGGATTACATACTATGGTAGCTTTGACATGCCTTTGGGGAGATTTTTAAGAGACCATCTATTTGACAAGGTACGCATGACATGTCTTTTGCTATATAATATTAAATTGGTTGACTACATTAGAAACTTATTATAACCCCTGCTCATGATAGAGTTATCACTGTCCTTCATGTGAGATGCCCCCAGAAGCTCACATTCAATGCTACACCCATCAACGAGGAAGTCTGACAATATCTGTTAAAAAACTTCCCCAGTTTAATTTGCCCGGAAAACGGGATGGAAAGATATGGACGTGGCATAGGTGTTTACGATGTCTTCGGCTTAATGGTTTACCTCCTGCAGCCACAAGGATTGTAATGTCAGATGCTGCTTGGGGTTTGTCTTTTGGAAAATTTTTAGAGCTTAGCTTTTCAAATCATGCAGCTGCTAGCAGGGTCGCTAGCTGTGGTCATTCTCTTCATCGGGACTGCCTTCTATTTTATGGGTATCAACTTCTCTCATTTATTATATTTCTTTGTTTACTTCCTCTTTGTTCTTTCTCATTGACTAGCAACGCCACTCTTAATTGATCAGGTTTGGAAAAATGGTTGCTTGCTTTCGGTATGCATCAATTATTGTTCACTCTGTTAATCTGCCACCACATAAACTTGACTTCAACTATGAATATCAGGAGTGGATGCAAAAGGAAGCAAACGAGGTCTGGCGTCCATATAGAAAATATTGCAGAAAGATTTTTTTTTTTTTATTTGAAGAAACCATTTTTTTTGTACCTTTAAAGTTATCATGCACTAACTATTTTTAAATACCAGGTCGACAGGGGGAAAGAACTGTTACTCTCTGAAGTGTTAAAATCTCTACCGCTGATTGCAGATAAATGGAAATCCTTGAAGTTTGCTAATGCTACGGCGATAAACCCAGAGCCCAGTCATCACTTTCATGAACTTGAAGAAATGTTGCAGCAGTTTAAGGAAATTTTTGAGGTATGCGAGAGCTGTTTTTATACTGCCATTTCGGAGTTTTAGTTATTTACTCTTTTATTAGCATTTCTGTAACGAGGCAAGGGAATTTGTTTCAGGAATCTCTAAATAAAGTGCTTAAAAAGGACGTGAAGAATGGGGAATCATTCATTGATATTCTTGAGATCAATAACTTGAAGAGGCAGTTGGTCTTCCAGTCATATCTTTGGGATCAACTTTTGTTATTTGCTAGTGAATCAGATAATCCTCGGGATTGTCTTAATGGTTTCTTGGTTAGTGATACACAGAAAATCTTCCCGGACGAGAAGCTAACAGATTTAAATATAGCTTGCAAAATGGAGAGCAGTTTAAACAGTAACAATACTGTTTATTCAGATTCCAGAATAGATATAATCAACAAAGATGGAAATTATGTTGATAGCCTTGTAGAGAAGCAAAGTAAACCGCTTGACGAATCAAATCTCACTCTGCAGAAAACAGAAACTGATGTTGACACTTCAGAATGTGAACAAAATAAGGCCAGTCTTTCTACTAGTGTAAGTGAGGATGATCAGCTAGATCCTCTGGATATGGTTCGTGGGGCTATCTGTGATGTGAAATTTCCACTATTGGCCAATCTTTCTGATACATCTAAAAAAAATTGGACCTGTGAATATGACCCTGTGCTTACAGGTATTCTGGACTCATCTGATACGGTAGATGCAGCAGAACCAGTTTTAGCTTTGGAGGATACTGAAGAGAAAATTGTAGCCAATGTACCACAGTCTTTAGCTTCTGTTGTACTTGATAAGTTGGGGAACAGTGCAGAAGAGTCCTCAAGCTGGATTGGATTACCTTTTTTCAACCTCTACCATTCCTTTAACAAGAATTTCGGCAATATTCCAAAATTTAATGCTCTTAATGAGTACAATCCTGTGTATATTTCTTCATTCTTGAAGTTGGAGCATCAAGGTGGGGGGAGGTTGCTTCTTCCAGTTGGAGAAAATGAAATTGTGATCCCTGTTTATGATGACGAGCCAACGAGTATCATATCTTATGCACTAGTCTCCACTGACTATCATATCCAGATGTCAGATGACTGGGAGAGAACTAGAGAAGTTGATTCTTCATTTCAATCGGCATTAGGTGACTCGGTCAACCTTAACTCTTTTTACTCAGTTAATGATGTCGCCTTTGAAACATTCCAAAACTTTGATTCAACAGAAGAGGGCATAATGTCATTGTCTGGGAGCAAAAGCTCATTGGATCCACTTATGTCTATAAATCGAATGCATGCAAAAGTATCTTTCGAATCTGAGGGCCCTCTGGGAAGAGTCAGATATACTGTGACTTGCTATTATGCTATGCACTTTGATGCTTTGAGGAGAAATTGCTGCCCATCTGAGCTAGATTATATAAGATCTCTTAGTCGTTGTAAGAAATGGAGAGCCCAGGGAGGCAAAAGCAATGTCTTTTTCGCTAAATCACTAGATGATAGGTTTATCATTAAACAGATCACTAAAACAGAAATTGAATCCTTTATTGATTTTGCTCCTGGGTACTTCAAATATCTCTCAGAATCCATAGCGACCAGAAGTCCTACATGCCTTGCAAAGATTCTCGGTATCTATCAGGTACATTTTACTCATCTTTTAGAATATTTTTTTTCTTATTAATTTCATCATAGGGTTTCCCTAAGAGGACAGAATTGTTATAATTGCTAAGTCTAGCCAAGTTTAGCTGATGGATAATTCTATAGCATTGAATATTCGTGCTAACTATAAGTGCGTGACACATAAAAAAAGTTAGAAATCATATTTGCATATTGAGACAGTCAATAATATTTCATATTGACATTGAAGGGGAGTAATCTGGGTTCAACCAATCAAAAGTAGAGAATTTCAACCAATTAAACGTAGAGAATGAATCAAGACATTTGGTATTAGTCCTTGTCTTAAATAATGATTTTGGTTAATCTTTTCTCATTAGATTTGTTTTAAAATTATCATCTTTGTTGCAAATGAATTTGCTTTTTTTTATTATTTACTATATTTTCCTGTGGCCTTGTCATTGGGTCAATTACTGTGTCTTTTTTTTTTACTTTTTTGTTAGACATGATGATTTGCTGCTTTTCTTGAAGGTATCAACAAAGCACTTGAAGAGTGGAAAAGAGACAAAAATTGATGTACTGGTCATGGAGAATCTTTTGTTTGGACGAAATGTAACAAGACTATATGACCTTAAGGGATCTTCAAGGGCAAGATATAATCCTGATTTAAGTGGTAGTAATAAAGTACTACTTGATCAAAATTTGGTTGAGGCTATGCCAAAAGCTCCGATTTTTGTGGGTGACAAGGCAAAGCGTTTATTGGAAAGGGCTGTTTGGAATGATACATATTTTCTTGCAGTAAGTTGGAAAGACTATTGATTTTCCTTAAATTTTGGAGTCCCCTTTATCTTTTCAGATGAATTTTGCATTTAAATGTTTGTTTTATGGTTTCTCTAATTTTCATATTGTGCAGGTTCTACATCACACACACAAGCATTGTAATCCATAACATAATTAATTACCTACTTGAGGTTCAATCTCTTAAAAAAAAAGGAAAAAGGAAAAATAAAAATCTATTTTCATCATCAGAATAGAAGTGGGTTTTTCCTTGAAGCTTTTGTCATTTGGACAACTTATGATGCAATTTGAATTTGATCAGGCACTTTAAATTTGAGTAAGTTTTATAAGTTGTCAAAACAAATTTTAGTGATAGTGTGGAACTTGGTGAATAGCAATGCTAAAAGGCTAAAGGTGCCTCGTAAATTCAACCATGCTTGACCTGCATAAATACTAACAATTGTTAGAGCCTTAAAGGCGCCTTGACTTGATTGCAGAGCTGTTATCATTAAAATGGTCAATGCTAATGCTAGAAGACAAAAAACACATTAGATCCTTCATAACTATTAATATAGTTATGATTTATGATTTTGATAGAATATACACGAATAGATGGAATTTATTGCATTTTAGAACGTTAATATAGAATAACAAATACCATAAGTTTTAGTATATAGATTGCTGACTTCAAAACTTCATTTTTATTGAATAAGTGACTGATAGTTCACAAGTAACCTAGGAAACTTGGAGTTTACTTCTTATCAACTCTAGTATCTTCAGAAAAAAAATAAATAAATAAGTGGGGGGTGTTCAAATCGCTTTTCTCTTCTATTTTATTTGCAAGTTACTTAATATGCTGTTTTCATTGCAGTCAATAGATGTAATGGATTATTCTTTACTGGTTGGCGTTGATGAAAAGAAGCAAGAATTAGTTATTGGCATCATTGATTTCGTGAGGCAATATACATGGGACAAGCACCTGGAGACATGGGTCAAAGCCTCAGGTATTTTGGGCGGGCCGAAGAGCGGACCAAAGCAATACAAGAAACGTTTCAGAAAAGCAATGTCTGCTTACTTCATCGTTGTCCCTGATGGGGAGCAACATGTGTGTTTGAATTGATTTCATGGTATATATTTGTTTCAGGAAGTAAGAAAATCTCCCTAATTTCCTCCCATTCGAATGTATCTTGTTTGAGAAAAATGTCAAAGTAGTCTTAACGCATTGTAGGGGGGAGTCATTTTAGTCCCAATCTATAGAGTTGTTAATTTAGTCCTCAAATTCTTTTAAAATAGGCTGACATAGTCCCCACATAGCACTATTAGCTCCAATTTAAAGAGTATGGGACTAATTTGACAGTTTTATAATCTTTGGGGCTAAAATGACCCCATGGAAACAGAAAGAGGTCTATTTTAGCACTTGTTTTCCTTTGGTCGTTTTACCTTCTCATATTTTTGATCTCATTTTGATCTGCGTCAATCTCTATTAAAAATAGGGTGTTTTCCTATGACAATCATGAGATCCTAACTGCAATCCTTTTTAACCTTTACCTTACTGAGTCCTGGGAGCTCGCCTAACAGATGACACCTTGACTTCAATTCTTAGTTCTTAGTTATACAATTTTTTTATTTTAATCTTTTCTAAAATTGTTCTGTGAGGTAATAACTTGAGCAACATGGTTGTAATTTGGGTATTTGCTTTTAGTGGGAAAATTTGTAATCATTATTCTTTTCAATGTATATAAAGTTATATTTTTCGAGTTATTTGAAATCATTATCTATGTTTTATATCTGCAAAAACTAGATTTTGTGAGAAATTATCTTATTAACTCACTTCGTTGAATATTTCTCTCTCTATGTGCAAGATAACATTTTTTCTTCATTCAGAAATATTTGTTGTTTGTTTGGCACTTGCATATAATATGTTTTTTGCCAGGTTCACTATTGAAAATTGAAATAGCTGTTCCTGTAATAGCTTTGTTTGATATCTAGACATGAAGCTGTTATGTTTAGTTTATGTATCAGATAAAACATGAGAATGATGATTACTGTATCAATGGAGAAGAGAAGATAAACAAGAAAAGCAGCTAGAGATAGAGAGAGAGAGATTGCATTCTACCATCTATATCTCTATACCATCTAGTTGTTGCCAGGGCAATCTGGGCCCTTCATCATACCCCTCACAGATCAAATACCCTTGCTCATCTCTGTAGCATATTACACCACTCTCTTTGTCCTCAAAAATCTGCTTGTTGAAAGCTTGAATCAGCCATTTCAAATAATGGATTTAGCAGTAAAAATGTTCTGCTGAAGTGGAATCAAGTTCACCTTGATGACTGGGTTAAATTTCTTCAGAGAATTTGATGCAGTTTGCAGCCGGACGTGGTGATTTGTGAGTATCAGGGATCTGGTGGTCGCCAGAGAGTTCATGGTAATCGCCGGCGAACTCGGGGCTGTTACACGTATGGAGATGTTGGGGAAGAAAGGTGTGATTGCCATTGATGGATGCGGTGATATCTGTTTGTTTAAGAATTTTGGAGAAGAGAAGATGGAAGGGTTGGTTTTCATTAATAAGATGCAAGGTACCAGAGAGTTGACTTGAGTTTATATTTGATAATTTGTTTTTAGGAGTGTTGTTTATGATGATAGAATCTTGAAGTAGATGGGTATAAAATAAAATAAAATTTTAGGTGGAATATTTGGCCAAATTTTAGTTTATTTAGATTTTCAAATTTTTTTGATACATTTGGAAAATATAAATTATTAATCATTTTTTTAAATACTACTCATGTCAAAGTTAATCTAAAAATTTTAAAATTTGAAGACTATCAAAAAATTGGAACGGAATGCAAAGGGCATGAAATTTGAAGGAATTTGATTATTTAGTTATTAAATATGATCATTTTCTTAATAATTCTTTTATTATTATCACAACTGCAGTATTCAAAAAATAAGAGAATCGAAGAAAAAAAATATATATATCATAAATGTGTCAACATGAATCTATGAGTAAATCTAACGTATAAGGTGACGAAAATGTACAATTAAGAAGGGCCCACTGATGGAAGATCAAAAGACCCACTTGACCATATGCAAACCCCTGAACAGGGGCTAGAGACCAACCAGGTGTATGTCACCCCAAACCAAGGTCTAAGGCCAATCGCAAGAGCATAGGCATAAATATGCTCATCATTACAACCCAACTTAAGGGAAGACTTCAATATCGCCAATAGTCTCATGGACGGCCCTGGGTTCTGTCATCATGGGCCAAGAATTGGAAACAATATAACACACAAACATCTCGAACGATCCCCTTATCAAAGAATGAATTATCTACTTAATCACGGTAATTCACCCTACACCCGATTGTCTAATCTCATTTTGTTGACCGAAACTCCTCATCTAGGGATCAATAATCGAGAAAGAGACTAGAATTGTTAACCGTAAAGCCAAGTCGATCGAGTGAAGTCTTGCCAGTTTGATGACTAATAAAAGCCAAATGACTACCCCGATTCAGCACAACCAGACAAACCAGAACCAAATCCCACTGATTTTAGCCAACCGAGGGGTAACCAAACCATAGTCATATATATATGTAATATACCTAAAATATTATGTAACACCCTCATTAAAGAAAAGGCATACATGTAATTTCATATTATACCTCTCATCTATAAATTAGGGAATCATTCTATAAGAAAGTAGTAATCAACAAATCAGGTTACTATTCATTACTATGCATCTATTGAATCACGGTAATTCATCCTATACTCGATAGTCTAATCTCATTTTGCAGACCGAAACTCCTCATATAGGGATCAATAATCGAGAAAGAAACTAGAATTGTTAACCGTAAAGCCAAGTCGATCGTGCGAAGTTTTGCCAACTTGTTGACTATTAAAAGCCAAATGACTACCCCAATTCAGCACAACCAGATAAATCAAAACCAAGTCTCACTAATTTCAGCCAATCGAGTCAGAGGGTAACCAAACCACAGTCATATATATTTAATATATCTAAAATATTATGTAACACCCTCATTAAAGTAAGAGCATACATGTAATTTCATATTATATCTCTCATCTATAAATTGGGGAATCATTCTATAAGAAAACAGTAATCACCAAATCAGGTTACTATTCATTACTATGCATCTCTCTCTCTCTCTCTCTCTCTCTCGTCTTATACTCTATTTATTGAGTGTGATCATTCACAGACAAATCTATTTATTGAGTGTGATCATTCACAGACAAATCATAATTCAATATATTCATTAAAGTTAATATAAAAATTTATAAAATAACTTGAAAATCCATTAATGTTAATCGCACCTTTTTGTCACATCTTGATCGGGTTTTTAATTCATGAATAAAAAATATGAATTTTTTTTTTAAACTTATTTATCTTTTTCTTTATTGCTTAAATATAAAATATCACCAATAAAAAAATATTATGTTCGAATAATTGAATGTGCGGAGGACAATCTGAATCGCACTGAATACTGTGCATAATGGCGTGGTGCAATTCATAATATCATCCACACATCAGAACGACAAACATAATATTCTTTCTTATCATTGGGGCTCATTAACTCCATCTAAAAGCCTCAAATTTTTTTGTTCAATATTAATTTTATATTTAATCATTGCTTTTTTTATTTCAAGAATTTTGATAAATGTTTCAAATTTTTTGTTCTAATTCATTTATGACTGATTATTTTATTTGAAGTTATAGGATTAATTGCATACCTATCCCTCAATTTTATTTCTTTACATATCTAATAGCAAAACTTTAATTTTTTACATTTATATCAATTTTTTTCTATGCATGAAAATATATATTCATCTTTTGTACTTAAAATAATAATATTTTTTTATGTGATATAAAAGATTTAAATGCTATAAATATAAAAAAAAAATAAAGTTTGGATGTTAGATATGTAAATTTATATGAATCGATTATTATGATTATTTTAAACTTTAATTAAGATATCAATTAGAAAAAAAATTAATTTACCTTAGATTAAATACATATCAAATTTATAGGGATTTTAATGATAGAACTTTAATACAACCTTGACTATTATTCAAACAATTTATGTGAATTTGTACTAAAAATAATATAAAAATAAATGAGGATTACTAATGTAAATTCTCCTTTAAATCATATAAATATATTAGTGATATAATATAATTTTGCTATATTTGTGGCACACATTTAATGGTCGTGGTGCAATACACCCACCTCATGTTAATACTTTAAAAAAAAAAAATAGAAAAATTGGAGGATGATTGTATTATTGATGTAATCATATAAACATTATTTATTAATGATGAACAATGAATGGTTAATTAATTATTTTAGATTGACAAAGATTGCTACATTATTTACTATATATAGTCTTTTTATGAGTTATTGATTGGTATATATAATAAATTCTTACTATTTTTTTAATTGCTAATTATTGTTATAATTGTTATATTATATTTATTATGATTGTTATTTCAATAGTTACTTCAATCAAAAAGATTTTTGTTTTCTTTAATAACAATTGAACCAGTTAGTTTGAACTCCCATGATTAAGATCGAATTCAAGTTGTGGGTGGCATGAGCTTGACTCTAATCATTTACACCCCTAAATTAGGAAATATTATTTAATATGAATGAATTGTATATGAAGATTGGGTGAGTGCTAAAAATTATTGTGTCATGTGTTATGATAAGTCCCACACTTTCAAAAAACAACAAAACAGTGTATTTCAGTAAGGTCCACATTTTAATGTGGCCAATTTTAATTGGACACCTGATGCAATAATTTCTCGGGTGAGTACACCATGAGCACACCCAAATTCACCCATATTTTTTGTATGTAATAAATACTCCTAAATCAAACATTCATATCAAAACCAACTATTTTTTTGGGTCATTCGAGGTTCTTACACACACGCGACATATATATGATTCTTGAACTAATGTCTCTTAGTTAAAAGTGTAGACTCATAAGAAGGGAAAATTACTATGTGTTGTTAGTTACACGTCTGGGTGACGGTCCTAATTAGCCACAATGCAATACAAAGTGGCGTGGCCTAGCTGCACGTCTGGATGACGGTCCTAATTAGCCACTGTGCTATTGATGAAGGTGTGATCTTATAAAGACCGTTGTCTGAAGATACAACATGAGTTTAAATTTAATACTGAACCTTTTCTGAAACTTTAAATTTTGTCTCCACGTTTCTGACAGCTGCAAAGTTCTAAATTCTAGATTAAGAAAACATAATAAACAATTCAAATTGTCCTTCTCTACTCAATGGTGGGTAACAGCGGATCAATGTTCCAAAAAAAAAAAAGTTTTTAAAATACATTCTTCCTCTTCTTTCTCCCGTCAAAGAAGCCTAAAAAAAAAAAAAAAGAGCCCCATGGCCCCATTCTGCAGAGGAAAACATAAAAAACAGAAACAGCTGCCACCTAATGATTCCTTCCTCATTATAGGGAGTAGGGGTGACACAAAGCAGCTTACTGCTGCATCGAGAAACAGCCACATGAAGCACGATTATTAGAAAAATGAAAACTTTGGTGGGTTTTCATCTTCTGAGCATGGTCTGTAGTTCTGAAAATCTGCTGCGAGTGATGCAGCTGAGCGGAAGCTCTCCATTCCTGAGCTCTCCGATGAACGATGGCCATTTTCTTCATCAGCTTCTCTTCTAAGTTTGATCTCATCTTCTGAATCTTCACCTGCATGAAAGTGAGGCCATAGCCATTGATGTGAGATTAATGAGGACTGAGGTCCTAAAGAATGGAGTAAGCTAAGAAGAAAGGTGGAATAATGAAGAGAGATTAGCTCTAAAACATATCCCAAGAGAAAAAAAGCCACTTTCATACTCAAAACTTTATTTTAGGCACCGAGTGAAGCTTCTATGAATTGTAATAAGTACATAAAAAACTAGAAAACATTTTGGCAATCTTCACAATCGACGCAACATTAAATGTGTTATCTTTTTGCCCATCATTAGCGCATAGAAACATCTAGGGGACCTAATAAAGAAGAATTCAATTTTGGTGGCTTCTTAATCTAAGGGACTTTAGGAATACTAGCATGTGATTGCAAGGGAGAAGAAGTCAATTCATATTTTTAGAGAAGCTTTTAATAGAGAGTGAAGTGTCAAAATAATCTTCCGTAGAAATTATTTCAACTCTTATTAAAAGAGTCCGAGGGTTAAATTGTCAGTACTTCTATAAGCTCTTAGATTATTAAAATGACCCCTTGCAAAGAGTTGGGGAGAACCATTTAGACACTTTCTCCTAATAGGGTCAGCATATCATGAAAGTCACATCATTATGCAGTTTTCATATTTTGTCTTTTAAAAAGTTGTATCGAAACAAAATCACACGCATACATGTCGAATCTCGAACAACGGGACAAAATGCCAACCTAATTTTCAAAAATTACAATTGGTGAAGTGCTCCAGTTTGGTCACAAATAAATACATATTGTTCTTGCAAAATTAAATGATTGTAAGTATATTTATTAAAAAATAAAAAATTGCAGCCTACATTCTACTTCTATGTTTTTTGTTTTTTTCTTAATGTTTGACAGAGAAGCATCTCTTATTGTTTACAACAAGTTCCTTTATGTAAAGACTTTAGTTCATTTATTCACATGTTGCTTAATCACTTAGGATGGTAGCAGTTTATTGAAGATATAAAATTTTTGGCAGGACATGAAGTAGGTGTATTCTATAGTCAAAATATTGAATAGAGAAAGGGTGCATGGTTTAGAAAGGACAAAATCCCATTTCAAATTTGAAACTCAAAAATATTATATGATGCTAAGGAGAATATGACAACAGTACATGAACACGAGCTCTTCCATAACAGCAGAAAGAAATCAGACTAATCCTCTGAACTGATATTTATCAGACCAACAAATTAAGTTATTATTATCATAACAGCAAAACCATGTGTAATGTAATCTGTACATAATTCTTCAATGTCTTCCCATAGACCTATCAAAATCTAGGAAGATTTACATACATACTACTTAATTCTTATGTATTTACATTATTAACAACTAAACTTCTATTTTTACATACATGTCAACTTTACTTATGCATGAAAAGGTGTATTCAATTTTTAAAAAGTTAAAAAGATGGTATTTTTTATGTGATACAAAAGATTTGGGTAGTATAAATGTAAGAAAATAAATTTTAGGTATTAGATATGTAAATACATTGTTTGGTATTAATAAATATTGATATTTAAAATGCCCACAAAAGTTTTCTTGGTTATGTTTTCCCAAAACAAATCTTCATTTAAAATGAAAAAACTACTATGAATGCACATTATTTTGATATATATATATATATATATATATATATGAGAAACATTCATTACCTCAAGTTTTCTAGATTGTGCTTCTGCCTTTGCTGTTTGAAGGTTCACCCATGCTTGGATCTTTGCTTCTTCTCTCTGATACCTGCAATTTAATGAAAATAATTAACAAATCATGTCTCATTATGTATATCACTAAATTTCATTTCATTATTTCACCTTATACAGCTCTTGGTCCTCTCATCTTCTTCCCAAAGACAAGCTCTGTGTTCAGCTATACTCTTCCTTCCATCACTCACCTCAGAATATCTCAAACTCTTCGACACCTCCTCCTCTTCCTCTTCTCTCGAGCCCCAATAAGAAACCACAGAACCATACTGAGCGCTGAGCTTGAGCTTAGCAAAATGGCAATCTTTGAGATCAGAGATATTAATTCTGGAGTTAGAAATCACCAAAGGACCAGATCTATCAGCTGGAGTATTGTGCCTGGCTGGGGAAGAGCTCTTCATGGGAGTGTGGCACCTTGAGCTTTTAGAGCTTCCAAGAGGAGTCATTTCGGTCCCGACGTCTCGACGATGAACCTCTGCAATTGCTTCAGGTGCAGAATTTTCTACTGTTTCACAGTAGGAGTCTTTGAAAAAAAATTCTTCCGTTGATGGATCAGGGTATCGAAAATTCAACAAAACTGGCTGTTTTATATCTGTAAATGTATCTGCAATGCAATTTAGCACCAAGATGTTAAAACTTTGGTATTAAACATGGTGCAACTATTATGCAGCAAAATGCACATTTTGAACTTGATTTAGTTAGTTAATAGTGGGAGAAAGTGTTGACCTTCAGCAAGCAAAGCTGAAATAGTTAAGAAATGGACGAACATTTAAGGGTTTACAACCTTTGAGAAGGATTTCGGATGAGAATCCATGAAAATCTTCGTTTAAGATGAGACCAACTCCAGGCCCATCAACGCTTGAAACTGGGACATTGCTAACAATGCCTTCACTAATCCTGAGCTTCTCTCCAAATTCCTGATCAAAGGCGCCAGCTTTTCGCTGAAGAGCTACATTTTGCCTGGCAAGTTTGGTCATTTCGGAAGGTTTGCTCCCATGTGCTGGTGATTCATGGCAGGAACCACTCATCAACCATTTCTCTGCATCTTCCCATTTTGAAGGAACACTTTTTCTTGAGAAATTTCCAACGCTAAACTTAAACACTGGTCTTCCAGGTGTTGAAGGAGTTTCCATTCTCTTCTGCAAGCCAGAAGAACTCACTCCATCCTTCCTTCTCAGAGCTGAGGTCTCAAGGAGTCCCCTTTTGATATTGCTGCCCTTCATATTCATCACTGGAAATGTCTGAGGTTTCCTCTAAGTTGGTCTTGCAAAATGAATCAATGAAAACATCTGTGAAAGAGCTCCCAATGTTGTCTTCCTTGAAGCGTGAATAAGCACCTAATGCTGATTCCTAAAAGTCAAAATAATATAAATGAGGTCAAATCCAGAGGTAAGAAGAAAAAAGCGATAAACTTGAGTGGAAAGTACGACAGAGAGGCTTGAAAATTTGACTGAGTTGGGGCTCGAGGAATCCCTAGCTTCTTCTTCAGGGTTTCTAGGCTTTTATATCTTTATAAAATTACTTTATCTTCCTCCTTCCTCCTTCCAGTCTTTTTAGTTTCTTACTGAGAAAATGCCAGGCTTCACGAGAAGAAGCAGGGCAGGGCAACTGTTTCTGATTTGCGACCAACTGAACCCTTGGAAGCTTGATGGATATATCAACTCTCTCTCTCTCTCTTCCTCTCTCTCTCTCTAAGGTGGATGGAAGAACAGGGAATGCTTAGATGCACCTCACAATGCTATGGAAAAGGGTGCTGCAGTTGAAAAACTCAAATTTTAGCGAATCTTTCTGTGTTTTGAGGCTCCCATGAATGGTAATGTCACAGTTTTCAGTGGTTTTATCTTTATTTTAAATTAATTTTAAGATTTACATAAATGCCACTTAATTTTATATATTTATAACCATAACACACTAAACTTTAATTTTTATATCCATGCCGCATATGAGGTGCATTTTATTTTTTAAAAGTTAAAATTAATTGTATTTTTTGTAATATGTAATATTTGGATGGTACGAATGTAAAAACTAATGAATTTAAATGTTAGATATGTAAATATATGGTGATTTGCATGTAAATGCCTCTTAATTTAATTATAATTTCTGCACCCATTTAAATATTCAAAACCTTAAATTCAGTAGCCCCACAGTGATTACCGAGCTTATTTTCTGTGCGGGCTCCTGATGTAGCTGTACGTGCCGCGGAGTTTATTCCTGAGTTATTTTCAGTTTATTTCTGGGTTATTTTTAATAATCCCGAAATAACCCAGAAACAACCCGCGGTTTTTAATTTTAGATTATTTCTGGGTTATTTTGGGATTATTGAAAATAACCTAGAAATAACTTGAAAATAATTCAAGAATAACCTCCGCGACACGTAAAATCACATCAGGAGTCCGCACAGAAAAATTAAGTGTGAGCGTCAGAGCTCCCAAAATAGGAACTTGCTACTAACATACTCCGTTAATTTAGTTAAAATTATAATGTGAGCATTTAAAGCTAATATTAAAATAATAATAAAAATTGAATCGGGCCAATATGCAATTTTGGGATATGATTAATCAATCAATTATCATAAATAAAATTAACTCAGGCGGCCATGATGCTGCCACTTGGCAATCTATGCTTTGATCTTTTAAAAATCAAGGTGTATGGGTTCGCGTGCATAGTTGTTTGACTGGATTATTCTTTTTTGACTTCATCTTGTCCGCCCATCCGACGGTGGGGGAACGCCCCAGCTGAAGCAAACTTAAATTTTTGTTGTTGAAAAATTTACATACATAACACACAATTCTTATGCATTTACATATCTAACATTTGAAATTTCATATTTATATTTATGGCATTGGTATTAAACCTACGAATGAAACTATTTATTTTTAAAAAGTCAACCATGTGTGTTGGATCTCTTAGTATCGTGAAAAAAAGCCTGCATTTTAGCCCATCATTAGTTCTGGGAAAACAAACAGTTGACACAAAAGAAGTGACATGATCGGCTTGATCTTATCGTCTTTTGTAAGATTCTGGTGTTGGAAGTTTCAATCTTGTTGGGGGCTAAGGTTTAAAGATTTAATGGGAGAGAGTATTTTCTGGTTGGTGGGACGCTTTGGTAGGCCTGAATTGGTGGCGATCAATTGGTGTCGAGCTAACATTGTCAATGTACTGTGTGTCATCCTCCCTCTCCATGATTAAGGGGACAACTCCATTTGCTTCGTAGAATCATGTCAAGGTTGTTGATTTCTCTCTTGGATCAGCGTGCTCTATTCACTTCGAACATTTGAAACTCCATATCTTGAATTTGTTGGGCTAAAACTTTTGTGTGCACACCATATTATTATTGGTCTCCTTATTGTAAGGTTCTTCTTCTTGATTTGCTACTCTTCTTATTTGTTGCGTGATCGATGCTCGCTGTACCTTTTAGGATTTTGAACCCAAAAATGTCTATGAATCACACCCAAGAAATAGAGCGTGAAAGAAAAGTGAAACAGGAAAAAAGATGATTTATATACTGGAGCTATAATCTTTCAAAATGAACATTAAAAATAGTAAAACCCCTCATCATTAATCCTACTATTTTAACAAATCTCCTTCTAACTTCATTATTAACTAAATTTAATTTCATTCACGAAATTAACAGCATAAATCTTAATCTTGAAATTAAAAAAATATAAGAAATAACATCCCACCCCACGTTTCATTGAATCTGTAATTACATAAGTTACCAATTCCTTAATCCCAAACGACCATCTGCTATCAAACATGTTTAAAGAGTCGCCCTCTGTCACAACATTAAAAGTTGGCAGAACAGATTCCACATAGATTTAGCTCTAAAACCGTCCTCTGTCGTCTAATAATTGCACCATAAAGACTATGCTGAGTTCTATGCAGAAATAAAGTCATGAAAATATTTAATGAACTAAAAAAGTGATCAAATTGGTCCCATTCATAACAAAAATATATTATGTTACGCGTCCACACGTTCGGACGGTCAACCACCAGAGGTCATGTCGTCCGCCGATAAACTTTATAGCGACAAGGGGCCCAATGGTTGTCTGTCCGGATTTTGAGGGTCTAACTAAGCAAGCCTACTTTTGAGCTAGCTCGAGTTTGGCTCAATAAGTGACCCCTTGAGCTAGAAAAGATATTACATTCGGATGTGTTCCGTTCAGATTATGTGTGGGTGGCGGTTCTTTTGGGAGTATTAGTGGTATTTACGATAATATTGAAGGTATTGTGATAATAATAACAAAATATTACCATGAATACCACCAATCGTACCTACACTATCGGAATGCAATATTTTCTTGAGCTCCGAGAGCTAAGAAGCCAAATTCAAGCCGACTCCAACTCAATTAATATTAAATGTACTTAAAATAAATTAAAATTCATAATTTTATTTAAAAATAATAAAAAAAATATTTTATATTTTATATCATGTCATTTCGTATTAGGAGCATTTACATACTTACCATCCAATTCTTATGTATTAACATATCAACTACACAAACATTATTTTTTACCTACAGATCACCTAATTCAAATGAAGTATAAGTAGTTCATACATTAATACATATGAATTGGGCGGCATGTAAGTAAATCTCTTTTTATTATAATACTAACTATAATTAATATTATTTTGATTCTTTCATAATGAACATGACCCAACTCGAATTCGTAAAATTAAGCTCGAGCATGAGCTTGAAATCAAGCAATTAATCAAGTTGAAGCTCAACCTCAAATCGAGAACGACTCGAGCTCGAGTAAACCCAATCACACCCCTAGGAGCAAGGAACATTAGTAGTTGGGTTTATAGGCAATAAGGTGGCAGCAGAAAACTAAAAAACCAAGGCAGCAAAACTAGAAGAAACAAGAGAATTAAAATGGTAGCTGCCCTAAACCCAGTCTCTAATTTATGATATCCTATATTTTTTTTATTTTTTTTACATTTATATACTCAAATCATTCAGATTATATCAAAATTATGATTATCTATTAAAAATTAAAATAAATATTTTCATGCATGAGTAAGAAGGCACTAGCATGTATATAAAAAGTTAACATTCGATGGATGTTAGATGGGTAAAAAAGTAGAAAATGAGTGGTATGTAAGTAAATGTTCCTTTTGACTGAATAAACACCCTCTCTCAGCTTCAAGTCTGCGTTTTGATTGATAGCCATCAATAAAGTTTGTCATTGGGCACAAATTTAAAGGCGATTAACATGAATCTCAAAGCATTTTTTTACAAAAAACATTCAAATTCCTAATAAAAATCATCAAGAATTCTGAGTCTAACAAACTTAATGTCAAAGTGTTTGGCTCGATGAGACGAGCATAATAACGTCAAAATTGGTCAAATCCAACTTGAATTAGGATCGTATTAAATCATTTAACCATTTTGGGAAGGTTATGGTGCTAATTTAAATGTAAAACGGATTTCAAATCTGTGAAGAATATAATCAAATTGAGCATCTTGAAGAGAATAGTCGAACGATGCCAAGATGACTCAATTTCAACATAATTAAGTCAATCAAATGATCATGAAGAATGAGCTAAATTTCAATGTCATTTCAGACCAAAAACACAGCAAACACCTGTCGCGCCTGCAACCAACATTAAAGTCAACCACCACTAGTTGACAATTATCGACTATTGCTAGCCGACCACTGTAGGCCATCTCTTGCTCATTGCACCAAAGCCCCGTGCAAAATCCAAGTCATATGATGCGAGGTAACAAAGCATTGTGTGGAGTAACACATTATCTTGAGCACAGTAGAGCGATGAGCCTCAAAGACAATATCGAACATCATATTTCGAAGACTTGTGCAATCATTTCCCGCCTGTGGGACAAGAGCTAGAACGAGTAATCATTAACTCATAGTGGATCATTTTAGTTGAGCTAAGCCCCGTCGTTTTTTTTTCTGAGTTTTCCATGGAAAAAATTCTTATGTATCTATGTACTACAATTGTTTGAGTGTGTTTGACTTTCATACAACGCTAAAACACTAAATAGTTATTCTATCACCGTGAATCTTCTGGCAAGCATCATTGTTGATCTTCATTTCTTCCAACATGTACAATCACAAAGTGAAAGCTAATCATTATGAGGATATGAAAAATTCATTTAAAAAATATCACAAAAAAAGTAGCAACATTTTGACAATACTCATTAGAATACACTACAAAAACAAAACAAAAAAAAATGTGATTTCTCCTCTCCACCAGTTGAAAAGGAGGGGGAACCAAACTTCCAGATATTGCAGGCTTTCTCAAAGCTGCTCAAAAAACAGGGAGGCAAGTAAACAAACCGTGGCAGCCTGAAGAAAAGATTGGAATAGATATGGTAACACAAATTGCAGATTCATGGAAGTACTCTGATCAATCCTTGACATCTGTAACACCTTCTGAAGATATCTGAAATCGCGCTTCAGCTTCAGCTAAGCATGGAGAACTTATCACTTTACAGATTCGTTCTTCTCCCCTTCCCTTCCGAAGAGCAAGTCTACATCCAAAACCAAATCCCAACATAAATAAATAACAAATAAAAAAAGACATGAAGAAGAGAATTGTTTGCCAGACAATTCTTATGTATTTACATACCTAACACCTAAAATTTGATATTTATATTTATAACACTTAGGTGTTATAAACCTATGCATGAAAATATGTATCACTTTTAAAAGTTAATAGTTGTGATATTTCTTATGTGATAATAGTGTTTTGAGTGTTATAAAGTTTAAATGTTAGATATGTAAATACATAAAAATTGTGTGGTATGTATGTAAATGCCCAAAAATTTAACCTGGTTGTAGTAGCGTGTGCCATTATATTTCCACCAATGGGTTTGATTTGTGGCCCTGCAAAGATGGCTGATCCATCTACTTGTGCAACAACTTGATTGGTGATGACCACAGCAACGCCAAACTGAATCAAGAATTCAAGTCATAACAACAAAATTGACTAAAAAAGATACGTTTAAATTTAAAAATTGATAAAGTTGTGGAAATAATACACCAACTCTTTGCAGGAGGTAATCTTTGACTCAAAGTCTATAAAAGTGTCATTTTAATCCCTAGACTATTTTAATGTGGACTAAAATAATCCCTACAAAGAACTATTTCGACCCCAACTTAAAAATTATGAAGACTAATTTGACATTTTTATAGACTATAGGACTACAAAACAAAAATTCCAGGATTATTTTTGCACTTTACTCTTTAAAAAAGATAACAAATTAATGTTGATAGTTGTAACTCATAGAGATTAGTTTACAAAACAAAACGCATGTTCATTATTCCAACATCCAGCACTAGAAATGAGGAAAAAAAAAAGGTAATAAAACAGAAACAAAAGCTTCCAAGTAATGAGTAGATTGATCATGAAATTTATGTTCAAAATCAATTTAGAATTAAATTTTAGAGGATTAAAAGAAAAGAACAGATTGGATTAGATTACCTCATCTGCTATCTTCTGAAGGCTCCGCAGGAACTTTGCCAAGTGCATCTGCCTTGCTGATAATTCTCCCCTTCCTGAGAAATCCGTCCTGTAAAGAGCAGTGGCACTGTCCACGACCATGAGGGCAAACCTGCAAAAGAATTAAGTTCTCGGCAGGTCATAAACAGTTAATACAAACCTTTTTTAAACAACGCCCAAATAATAAAGAAGATGGTAATGATGTAAGCGAATTAATTAAATAAAAGAAGATTTAGATATATACCATTTAAGTCATATGTGAGTTTATATATGTTGAATCTGAATCTGTCCGGTAGATTGTGCACAATGAACAGAATATGAGCGAGAGAGAGAGAGAAGGACGAGGAGATGAGGACTTCCCCCGGCGAGGGAAATAGAGTGTTCCAAAGCTCGTGGACCCATTTTATTTCATCAAAGATATGTGTAACAATTGGGATCCCCCCACAAAAAGAATCTCTTTTACATCATGAGGCTCTCCTTTTTATAGAAGATAGGAGGGGTAAAAAATATACAAAAAATTATATATTCGGTCATGCTTTCAAGAGAGAAGCAAAATATATTTTAGTCCTTTTTTATTTCAACTATTGGATGGTCTCAAGATCAATGCAAACTTTCTTGTCCGTATATGTCGGTCAATTGAAGTGAGGTGACTGAAAAAGAGAGCTTGATCAGTCGACTGAAGTGAGACTACTGGATTGCCTCGAGATCCATGCAGACCATTTTTTAATATACATATTAAGTTCTCCGGTTTTCTTACTCCTTGATAGTGATAACAATAATAATGACATGAAAATTTACAAATTAAACAAGTATTGAATAAGTAATTTGCTAATGATATTTCCTGCTAGGCGCTTTTCGCTCTCAGTTCTAGTACTTTCGTCATCACCTACGGGAGTCTCAAAGTTGCTCGCCCCGGAAGCGAGTTTTGTATTTGCTCGTCCCATGGGGGAGTTTTGTAGTTACTCTTCTGGGAAGGGAGTTGCAGTTACTCGCCACGGAGAGGATTCTTGTAGTTCCACACCCGATCGGATGCTTATGGCATTGTTATCAATTGTTTTGTTACGACTTTGACCAATTGAAAGCTCTTGGCGTCGTTGTCGGTTTTTGCGGTATGTTTTTAATCGATTAGATGTTCTTAGCATCTTTGTCGATTGTTTCTCATGCCTCTGACCGATAGAATGCTCTTGGCGTCGTTGTTGGTTCTTTCTCATGTTTTTAACCGATCGAACAATCTTGTTATCGTGCTCGGTCGGAAACAATAGTTACAGCGGTCGGCCGAGAGTGTCGTCGGTCGGTGGGTGATTTGGTGGAGGCATTAATAAGATTTAGATGGTATGTAAGAAAATATATAAATATGCAAGAATTGAGTGGTATATATTCAAACCTTCCCTGTTTCAGGGGCGGTTGACCAACGGGTGGTCGATTGAAGCAGAGGTGCGCGCTCGGCAATGTAGCCAGCGAAGTGTTGTGGTCAATTAATACATAGCAAAGCATTTATCGACAAATTAGTCTGGATTAAGCTAGATTTTACTAGCCACTCATGCTTAGAAAACCTAAAGCCCCATATTTGTAAATCTTGAACTGGTGCTCCATGCCAGCAAGGAAAATGTTTGAATTTACCTTCCTCCATTGTTTATGATAAGAGTGGAACGGGCGGAGGTAAGTTGTTGGGAAGATAAACTGAGCAGATTATGTATATATATATATATATATATATATATGGGGGATTGGATGATGTGTGAAAAAATATAAAGAGAAGAATTGAGCGTATGTATGTATGTATGTATGTATGTATAGAAATTGAGGTATATAAATTTAGTCTGGTTGGCGACATGTAGTACGATCAGTGGGAAGAAGTTCAGTCGGTGAAATTCGGCCAGCGGGTGTAAGAACCCCACTGAGGCAGAAGAGAGATGTGGATATAGAGTTTCCTATTAGAGAAGAATGGTGGAGTGGAGTGACTGAAGAAATGAGAGAGAGAGAGAGAGCTTGAGGAGAGGAAGTGAAGATCTCGATTGGAGGTGGAAGTGGAGAGAAGGCTCGCAGCCTAAGAGGCAATGAGAAGTGAAAGTACGAGCTGCCTAGAAAAAAGAGGCATGAGGAGTTTGAGGAGGCTTGATAAGTTTGTGGGAAGAAGAGTTTTGTGACTGCTATGAGGTGATTTGAGATGGATGCCTACGAGGCGATCAGAGTATGGGATGCCTTTGTTTTTACTAGATCTGTGGGAAAATACGGAGATGGATGAGGTTTCTAAGAGATCATCGGTTAGAAGGAGTAAAGGAAGTGAATCCGTTTTTGTGCAAGTTTCTCGTGTATTCTTTGCTAGTAGTGTGTCTCTGAAGAGTTTCCTCTTGGTGTTAGCTCATTTTCTTGTTCACAGCAGGATCTATGCTTGCCGCACCTTAAAAGATGTTGAATCCAATTTTTTCTGATAGATCATGCTCAAGGAATAGTGTGTTTATGTGTGTGTGAGGGAGAGAAAGAGCGAGAGAAAGAAAAGAAGATAAGAACTTCCCCTGACGGGGTAAATGGGGTGTTACCGGGCTCGTGAACCCATTTTATTCATCAAAAAATGTGTTACAATTGAGATCCCCGCGCCAAGGGTTTGTTTTACATCATGAAGCCCTCCTATTTATGAAAAATATGAGAGTTAAAAAGTATACAAAAATACATATTTGGTGATGCTTTCAAGAGAAGCAAAAGGCATTTTAGTCCTTTTTAATTTCGACTGTTAGATCGCCTCGAGATTGATGCAAACTTTAATGTACATGTTCGACTGACTGAAATGAGGTGATCGAGGGAGAGAGCTTGGTCGGTCGACTAAAGTGAGGTGGAGAGAGCTTGGTCAATCCACTGAAGTGAGGTGGCCGACTACTAGATTGTCTAAGATCCATGCAGAGCATTTTTTAATATATATATATATATAAATATATATATATA